AGCATTCTCTGGAGAGGCCTGTATTGCGGTGAGAGATAAACGATGGAGTCTGCAGGGAACCCCCCCTGGTGATGGTTATTAGCAAACAGCAACAGCCCCCCTCCCCCCCCCCCGTGTTCCTAGGAAGGTTACGTCAGAGGGGAAAGGTTTTCAGAGAACGTTTTAAAAGAAGGAGAGAGTAAGAATGAGGCAGCAGTTTCCAGAGCCGGGCCTTTCCCTCAATGAAAGGTCGGTGTTAATACTCCATAGTTCACTATCCAGACTGTAGCCTGGCACAGGGAGCCATACTTGTACATGGTAAAAACCCCCAAGGAAATTGCAAAGCGTTTGCAAAAACTCTGGGACGCCTGGGACGCACAGCAAAAGGTGAGCTAAAGCATCCGCTTCCCCTCTGCTTTATCAAACGTTCCCACTGGCAGAGTCTCCCCAAGTGACGACGCAAATAACGAGGGGCAGGAAGGATGCGCCAGTGGCAAGTCAGGGGAAAATCCTGGAGCTTCCGGCTCTCCTCCCTCCGTCTCACCCCACAACTGAAGGGGCAGAGAAATGCATCAGACCTCAAGCATGAGCTCCAGGGGGTGCCAACTTTTGTCCCTCCAGTCCAGCAGCATCATTCCCATCAGGAGAAGCTGAACCAAGTCCCAGACGTCCTTCCTGGCTGGAGGCTGAAACCCAGAACCACAAAGACCGGCAGGGTTACTGGCCTGGGAGGAGGCGAGAGCGGTGCTGTGGGGGTGGGACCTCCCTCCCCTTCCGCCATCTTGGAAAAACAGGGGAACGTCAGCAACCGCAGCATGGGACCGGCAGGTTGTGCTGTATTTCCACACTTACATTTTATCCCTCATACGGAAAAAATAGATCAACAACTGGAATATCAACATAAAACCACAAATAAGACAGATTGCTAAAATGTAATAAAACAGCAGTCGTGATGTTAGATGAAATTGCATGCAGAAAATGAGCAATGGCAGAAATAAAGGATGCCATAAACTAAAAGCCCTTTGAAACCATTTCTGGTGGGAAAGAGACAAAGATGGGTTTTGTCAACAAGAGTATCCCAGAGCCCCACTTTGCAAGCGAGCTCGTCCTTTGCGGGGAAATCCAGATGCCCCTTCCCCAGCTAGCACTTTGGACTAGCTCAGAATCGGTTTTCCAGGCTCAAAGAGCACATTAGGACCTTCCCAGCTTTTGTTCCCATCGCCGGATGGCTGCGTGGAGAGCAATTGCCGGAGCAAGGGAGGAGTCCTTACTGAGCGCAGTGGCCAGCATCGATGACGTTTTCCTGTTTCGTCCTCCACACTTCCTCCCATCGTTTGAATAATATAACAACAACAACAACCAAAGTACAGAAAAATTGCTGCAGGCTGCGAAAATGGGGAACATTATAAAAACAACAGAAACAAAGGCAGAATATAAGGAAAAACAGCTGGATGACAGATTAAGTAGATGCATGGACAACACTTGAAAAACATTGAAGGAAAAGATGATGACAACTTGATGTGGACATGGCTTAAGATGGGAACTATCAAGAAAGAAATGAAAGGTTTAACACTCGCTACTCAAGAACAAGCACTACAAACTAATGCCATGAAAGCAAAAATACAAAAATCCACCAACAATCCAAACTGCCGACTTTGCAATGACAAAGTCAAAACTGTTTCACATTAATATGTGAATGCAGCAAAATCGCACAAAATGATTACAAAGCTAGACGTGACCGAGTTGCTAAATTAATCCACTGGTCATTATGTAAAAAATATGATTTACCTGTATCCAGAACGTCATGGAGACATAAAGGGGAAAAAGTTATCGAAAATGAGAAGGTGAAGATCTTGTGGGACTTTCGAATACAGATGGATCCTCATTTGGAACACAACACACCAGATATTACAGTTGTCGAAAACCTATTTATTGACATTGTGGTACCAGGAGATGCCAGAGTTGAAGAAAAAGTACTGGAAAAAAATCACGAAATACCACAACCTGGCCATCGAAACTACCCGATTATGGATGAAACATGTAACAGTGATGCCCATTGTCATCGGGGCACTTGGCACCATGTCAAAGAATTTTTTAAGATACATCAACAAATTGCAGGTTCCTAACCCTAACCCTAACGCTGGCGCAACCTGTATCAACCATCAATAGTATTTGAGATGCCTTTTTGAATGTTCAGTTGACTGAGTTTCATGTTTAATGAATAAAGTATATCATCATCATCATCACCACCACCACCATCATCATCTGATTTCCTGATTTCTGAGATGGTTTTATACTTTTCAGGTTGCAGCTACAAACTATTATTCCAAGAATCTGCTTCTCTTTTAGAAATCCTGAGCCCCTGTTGCCTGTAGGGTGACTTCCTGGCATTTCCCACCCAGGGGTTTAGATTAAGGGCTGCTTGTAGGGCGAGAGACAAATGTGTGGGCAACTTTCTTCCCTGAGCCAGGAAGAGAGGCAGGTTAGAAGGACAACATGTAGCTGGTAAAAAATGGCCCTTTCCCCATATATTAGAAATAGCCTTATAATGTCTAGATCATTTATATGCTGCCTAAAAAGTACAGCCCAGGCTTAGGTGCAGAGTTAGACCAGGCACAGTTGAAAGAAGGAATCATTTATTGATTAATTTTATAGTCTATCTTTGCCTTCAATCTGATTCTCAAGACAGCAGTTCTTTCATTTCCCTTTTGACTGACTGAAGACTTCGGTTCAATCGGGATTATGCATCAATTTGTTTTCTGTCATCTAATTGTCTGGCATGATTTGAATATCATCCTTGAACGCCAAATTTCAGATTCAGCCGTAAGAGGAATAATATTGTCTGGATCGTAGTTTTATCCAATAAAAAAATATATCAAGTATTCCAATTCCTCAAGACCTTGTCCATCACTACACCAACTTGTGGTTTGTCCCATCACCCCAATTATCTTGACTTCTATGGTGCTGGCTGCTTGCTGAACCTGCCTATTGAACAGAACAGAATGGAATCGGCCACCGGGTCAGCAGAGCAGCCCTTCCTACCTGGGGTGGCCCTGAGGGGAAGGCAGCCAAGGCCAGGGCTTGGAGGAAGGGGGAGCTGGACCAGAGGGGATCCTGGGGGTATCTCTGGTACACCAGGTGGACAAAGTGGAGGATATTCTGTATGAAGCCGGTTTGCCAGGAATCCTCTCCCTCTGCGGGAATCTAAAGGGGGACGCAAAATATGAACTTTTATCAAACAGCCATTCAATTATTTAGGTTTTACTTTGATTGAGAGAAGAGAAAATAATAAATGTAGAAATAAAAGCAGAGAAAGAAAAGCTTGGAGACTTTTGAAGAACTTGGGAAAGGCTTCCTGCCACTGAACTGAAATCTAATTTGATTGTTATTTCTTTCTCCCTTTTGGGGGCAATCTCTCTTTCTTTTCTCATCCCTTATTTCCATCCTGTTTTGGGGGTGTTTTTCCTCCTCCTTGCATGCTTTGCTCCCTCCCTCTCCATCCTGTTTAGTTTAGTTTTAATTCAAAATTTTAAATTTGTGATCTTTATTATTTCAACGTCTATGCTGCATTTTATTCAATGTCAAGGATCACCTCTGGCAAGAAGGGCAGCGAAGAAGATTGGTTAAATAAAAGAAATGAACTGAAACCCAGTGGAGAAACAGGGCATCCTAAACAAATGTGCCCCCATCCAAGTAGATTCTGCATGGCAGAAGCTCAAGTCGGAGAGGGACCCTGCTGACCAGGCTCCCTGCCTACTGGCACATCCTTTCACCCTTTTTTCCTTTGTTCTACATTTTCAAAACAGCCTCAGCTCAGGTGTGTGTAGATAGAGAGCAATCAGCCTCCCTTGCTCCCGAGCAGCTGTGGGGCTTCAGCCTGCGGCATCCCCAGGACAGGACTCACCTGACTGGTGAGGGACGAGACCATCCCCAGCAACAGAACGGCGGCCTCCGCACATAAGCCACCTTTGGCTACTCTCTCTGTCTGATGGTGACCCAGCAGCCACTCCAACATCGCACCCAGACCTGCCTGGAAAATGAACGTCTCGTGAAACAGCAGAAAGTGCCCCAAAGGATGAGCTTCCCCACACCGCTAAATAACAACATGGCAGGCTGTGCGAGTGGCTCCTCTTGAAACAATCAATAGCAACAGCAATAGCAGTTAGACTTATATACCGCTTCATAGGGCTTTCAGCCCGGAAGCCTAGAAGTCTGAAAAAGAGGAACCTGCAAAAGAGTCCTCGGGTTACAACGTGATTTTTACTTCTAAATTCTATCCAAAGTATGGGCAAAGGAGGGAACCTGAATCAAGAGATTGAGATGCCAATTCCTATGACACTAAAAAAAGAAGTGAATCAGGAGCAGAACTTCATATCACAAGACACATTTGAGAAAAACTCCTTTGATGTGGATAGCCTGAATAAAAAACACTTCTCAATGTGTTGTTCCTTTAGGTTCTTTCTGTTAGTGAAAAGTATTCATTAATACATTTTTTGAAAAATAAAATCAAAGAAAGCAAAATGTGAGTAGGACTATTTATGTCAGCATTTTTCTGTTATGCTTATTTTGCAATAATTTGTATACGCACATCGTCATCTCAAAGAATTGCACAAGATATACCTGAATGTGTATACAGAGAGAGAGAGAGAGAGAGACAGACAGATTTTGTGCAGTTTAATCAATAACTCTAGCTGTGAGAGGTGGATTGCGTGGCATAGTAGCACAGACCTTAATAAAACTTTCCTTTGTCAACCCTAAGGGCAGGGGGCCATCCAGCCCTTCTTTGGGGAAGGGGACCTTATTCTCTCACGTGGCAATTAATTCTACGGGTTAATATCTCTCACCATGGACAGGAAATTCCTCCTAATATCATACTTTATGGTAGTGATTAACCAGCACAATAAAATTAGTATTCAAATATTCAAAATATCCAAAACTAAAACAACAATGTCAGGATAGTTAAGAAAAATATATGCAGACAGAAATATTTCAGATTTGTTTTTACGTGACTGTGGGGCTGTATCAAAAGATTAACGTAATGGTTTATATGGTGACCCTTTTAAGCTGTATGAGCTGCTCCTCTTTCAAATAAAGTTTTGATAGCTGATGGCAGAGGTGGGTTGCTCCCAGTTTGGCCGAACTGGTAGTGGTATTTTGGCCTGGGACGCAGAACTGGCAGCGACCCAGGCTGGCCACGCCCCCAAACTGGTTCCCCAGTCTCCTCTGCTGTTGCCGGCATGTTTCTGCACCTGCGCAGAACAATTTTTAGTCCACTGTGCATGCGCAAGCAATGTGTGGCAGGCACGTATGAGCGAAGAGAGCAGTTCACGCGCAAAGCACGTGTGCAGCGAACCGCTACCAACCGGTACAGGAACCCATCCCTGGCTGATAGGCATGAGATGTAAACCATACACAGAATAATTGTGACAGTATAGAATGGGAATTTTGAAACCCTTCCCAAAAATGAGCTTCAGCTGAGATTTGATTCCCAGGAAAGGGGCTACACTGGGGATAATCTAGGCCGGGAATAATCGAGGCTGCCCTCTATGACACGAAGTCTCGGCAGCTTAAGGAAGATTCCTCTGTTGAATATTGACATTTCCTGTTCTGTTGCCTTTGAATATTTCCTATTTGTAGGGTTTATTCACAGTGAAAGCTTCTGTCCTTTGGCTTTGCTATTTCAGCTTCTACAAACCCTTTTCCCTGTCAATGCAGTGGCTTACTTGGGTGTCATCAGGTGGCTTAGAGCCCGGCGTGTCCAGGAGAAGGCCTGAGAGGAGAAGGGGAATCTCAGGGATGTGGGCTGAGCTGCTCAGGGACATCTGTAGCTCCATTAATCCAGAGAGCGGATATGGCTGATATTCAAACGACTGGGGAGAACTCTTCAAATTGTCTACAACAAAGAAGAAGAAACTTTCTCTGAAGGCTCTCTCTGAACTGCCTGCCAACCTCCTGACTTACAAAAGAAGAAGAAGGGACCAGACTGTCATCTTATTTACCCAAGGAAAGGCTACACAACACAGCCGTCGATGGGGGCTGCTTCTAGAGGTCGGGGGGGGGGGGAGCAGGGAGACTAGATTCTCCAGGATCTGGTTCAGTTTGGTTTATCAACCAAATATCCAGAATTAAATTGTATTGGCCAACAAACAAGGCGCCAAAAGGCTGGGTCTCTCTTTTGGACGGAGCAGTTAAAGAGCTGAAACCCAAAGTGTGAAAGGGCCAAAGAGGAGGCGGTGAAGGTGATATTAGTACACAATCCCCAACCCTTCGGCCATCCAGGCTGGATTTCCTTCACATTTGGCCAGGGCTATTTTTAACAAAAGCAAAAACATTTTAAAACAATTAATACATTCTATAGAAATCAAATAGAGGCAAACAGAGAATAGATAGAGATGGAGGAGGGGAGTGGGAGAGAGCGAGAGAGAGAAAGAGAGAGAGAGGTGATAGATTTATTGAAATAATTAGTCGTGATCCACAGCTGGCCTCAGCATCCCATTGCAAGCCGACCAGAGGGCCTACCGGTCAAAATATTCAGCCCCTCTAAGCTGTTTTTCAGCCACAGGCCTGCCACCATCCCCTCTGTGAACTCCTGCAGGTTCGTGTGGTTGTGCAGGAAATGGAAGAGCAGTTTGGCTGCCAGCACAATTGTGGTTCTATGCACGTGGCTTTGCATAAACATCAGGAACCAGTCAGGGCCCAAGGCCTGGAACATTTCTTCTTGGATCCTGGGAGGGAAACACCGGATTGAAAGACACAACACTTAAACGTTGTTTGTTGTAACTGTACTACGTGGCGGACTTACTAGAACAACAGAAACTGAAAACATTTGCTGGCTCCTGAGCTACCGTTGTGCTTTTGAAATCTCTTACCTATCCCAAACCTACCAAAGATTCAGTTACAGTCTAGTCTTAACCTTGTTTCTTAACCTTGTTCCCATAGAAATAGGCTCTTCTGATTAAGTAAAAGCAGCTCAAGGTGGAAATGGATTTTGAGGTTCCCGCATCTCTGAAGCAAAGGAGGCCTCCCCAAGGCTGGATCAAGGTTGGAGGGGGACCTGCCAGGAGGAAGACCCAGCCTTCATCACTCCGCCTGCTCTGCCTCCCCAGCCAAGGCTCCCTCGGAGGCAGCAGCGGCGGTGGAAGGATCCCTGATTTGGCTCCCATTGCCCAGAAGGGAAGCCTCCCTTGCAGCTTCAGGGATCCTGCTGGGGGACGGGATCCAATGTCCCGCCCTTTGTGGATTGGTGTGTGTGTGTGTGTGTGTGTGTGTGTGTGTGTGTGTGTGTGTTTAAAAAATTATGCCAATTCTAACACCTCTGGGCAATTCATAATAATCCTGTTTGGATCTGTCATAAGATCCAAACTCACTCACTCTCTCTCTCTCTCTCTCTCTCTCTCCCTCCCTCCCTTTTTTGTTTATTTATCTTTATTACAGAAAGTAGAGCAGAAAGCATTCAAGAGAGAATACAGCGCAAGAGATTGTTCTCCCATTCTCCCCTTAACTTTCCCTACTTCAGTATCTGTGTCATTTTCTGCTGATTAAACAGTTAATTATTTTAAATAAAGTGATTTATAGTTTTGATTAGTGGACAGGAGAGATGATAGAAAGAAAAAGTATTATGTTCTGACTTTAGAATAAGAAGCACCTTTGTCATTGTACTTTTAACCGCTGTAAAGAAGATTGTGTACACACAGACGCACAGACGTTCTTACTTACACAGAGGACGAATGAGGTTTGTCTGGTTGTAGTACATCCAGCAGCATGCTCAGCAACTGATTTCGAAGCCAGACCATTTTCCCAGGTGCCTGAGTTAAGCCTAGAAATCAGACCATCCAAAGAATGCGTGTGAAACTCTGCGTGTGAACATCCTTCACTGCTAATAAATGCAGGATACAAAACGAAGGGAGCAGATCATTCACGCGGACGGGTAGTAAGAAACTCTTCAAATATGAGACTATCCCTTGTTTTATTTTATCTTGTACGGCTAACAGGTGGTCTCGTAGGAGGAATGGACACTCCGCAGTCAGGCTTTACTCTGGAGTTTATAGTCCACCTTCAAATGGACTGTCCCTTTTAGACAAAGGGAAGCCTTTTCTTTGCGAACAGGTTCCATGCAGGAGGCAAAGGCAAACGCAGGCTGCCTTTCGACCCACTGTCAGATGGGTTGCCTTCCTGCCCTAGGAGGCTGCTTTGCCACCGGGGGTTTCCTCTCAGGTGAAGCATCGCTGCCCTCTCTCTCCGGGCAGGAATAATGGGGCAGCCTCCCTCCCTCCCTCCCTCCCTCCCCGTGGCAGGCAGCTTAAAGAGCGGCTCTCCAGGGCAAAGCAGGCAGCAGAACTTCCTCTCTTCTTTCCATTCCTGCAAAATGGAGTTAAATGTTTCTTTCGGTACGCAGACACTTTACACTCTTAGCCACAAGCAAAGCAGCGAATAATAGAAACAAGCGGCTTTTGGAAGTTTTTCTATGTATTTCAATTTTGGTTCCAAGGAGGATTTTTTTAAAACTCCAAGCAAGTAAACAGGAAGAGCAGACAGGAGTTTGGACAGAGAGGCATTTTTGCGCTCTTCCTTTCTCCTCCTCCTCCTCCTCCTCTTCTTCTCCTCCTCCTTCTTTCTTCTTGCAGTTTCCCTTCAGGGGAAGCTCCAAAATGGGTGAGGAGGGAAGCATTATCTGTGCAATATCTGCTTCCCTGCCTGGCTCAGCAGCTGCTCCGGCTCCTGCTGTTTTCAGGAGTTTTGGTGCTCAGTCATGAGCCGAAATGTGGACATGTGCTGTTCCTGCCTTCTTCTCTTTCCCTCAGCCACTCCTCCAGCCTCCCACCTGATGCAAACTTACGTCTGGTAAGTTATTAGGCAGGAACACAGACCTTCTACAAGCCCTGATGTCACAGCCACAGAGTGGCATCGATTCATAACCCGCTCCCATTTCTTATGAGACGAGCACCAGCAAGTCCTTAATTTCCTGCTGCACGGATGGTGCCTTAATGCTCTGTTCTCTCAGCCCAACTTATATCTTCTTTTCAGGAGTTAGAGGACTAGAGTTTGGTTTTGAGAGGCAGAATATTAGCAATGAGCAGCTACAGACGCCAAGAAGAACAAAGGTGAGACATCAGGGCTACGGTACTATTATATCACATGCTATTTCTTGACATGTAACCCGAACAGTCCACGGCAAAATAAACTAGACAATCCATTAACTAAGGTTTGGATATTGAAACAAACAGACGGCTTGAGAACAAGGCAGGAGGCAATGAAATTGTGATGCCCCACGCAAATACTTCATTTGATTTGAGTCTGTATTGCAATGCATGTTTTACCACTTGTCCACCTCCAGATGTCAAAGATGCAAGCCATTATGTGCCTTATTTTTATATTACACGGGTAAAAAAAAATATTCCATTTTTTTTAGCAACACACAATTCTGTTTCATACCTTGTCCAAATGGCTCTGGAATATTATTGGAGAAGGTCTCATTTTCATCAATAGATGCAGGAGATAAAGTGTAAACCAAGAATAAGCCAATCCTGAACAAGAAAACATAAACCGATTGGATCAAATTGCAGACAGGAAGACCTTCAAATCACTCTTAGGAGGAACCCCAAAATAACATTTTACAGGTGGCTCACAGGAAGAATAAATATTGCTGCTACTGATGTTTTCCTGCATCCTCACAAAGAAGGAAGACGGGGCAACTCATGAGTCTAAACTAAGAGGTTTGTCATAAAGAGAAGCTAAGCCTCCTCTGATGTCACAAAGCAGGGCTTCCTATCCTCACCAACTTCAGCTCCTAGGAATGCGCAGGCAGGAATTAATGTCCCCATTTTTTAAAGTTGCTAACACTCTGGTGGAAAGGAGAAGGATGCTGAGAAGGGAACCGAGGGGTGAGCAGAGGCATTGCAGCCGCCCCCCCCCCTCCTGTCCCGGTTCCTCTGGGGTTGACCCAGCATGGATGCCCCTCTGCCCTTCCTCCCTGCCGCTGATTGAGCCGGTGAAGGTGGATGTTGGGGGGGGGGGTGCGTAGTCTTTGTTTTGTGGCTGGAAAAAAGCAAACTGTGCGGGGAGGAAAAGTCTTTCTGCTGAAGCCCGAGGGACAGAGGGGTGCTAGTCAGGGATGGGCTGCAGGAGCTGGGTGGAAATACCAGCAGAGATCCTGGATGCTGAAGTGGCCCCGGAGTGAATGGTGGAGGAGGAGACAGATCCGGCGGAGGCGAGAGGCCGGGATCCCGGGATCCCCAAGGAGAAGAAAAAGCTTGGGCACCATCTGCGCCTGCCGGACGGGGTTCCCGGGGGAATTCTTTCCTCTGCAAAAAGCAAAGAAATGTTTTTTTAGAAGATTTTTTCCTTTTCCTGAGGATAATATAGCCACAACATTATTTATATTTCTGCCTTGGCAGCTCTCAAGATGCCAGCCACCGGATCAGATTCTCAGGCAGGCCCCCTTCCGCTCCGCATCAGCCGGCCTCTTCTTCTCTTGTGGGCTGGCCAGCAAAGAGAGTTCAAATCAAAGAAATAAGTGATGCCTGGAGCTGCACAGCACAGGGGAGTAAGGGCTGCTTTGACAAAAATCACTATCAGAATCCCGGAGAGTTTTTCAGTCAAAAAGAAATTCACGAATATTCAGGCTTTTACATTTACAAGGCAGGAAGGCCATTTTGGGCTCTCCGGACACTGCATGGTGCCTCTACAAGCACCTGCAGGGGGACATGGATAAAGGTGAAAGTATGCAGTAAAGTCTGGTGGGTTCTTTTTTCTTTTAAAGGGAAAGTAATTCCCGTGGATGTATAGACCCCACAATTAGAGTTTCAGTCCACGGCACGGCTGCCGGGTGAGCCCAGGATACGTGCAATTGCTGGCCCACTGAGAAGGCCTCTCTGTACCTGGAGGACTGGAGGACTTCCGTGAGATGCTTAAAGAGAGGGAGGTCCAGGTTTCCCGAGGCAGAGCACCACAGCTGAAAGCCAGAGGCAAGCGAAGCAACAGAGAGAGGGGCCATTTGGTCTGCATGCCGAGGAGATTGTAGGAAACAGGCAATGGGCATCTCTTTCTGCCTTCTAGTTCTCCAAAATGTTGCAGCTCCGTCGTGTCTACCTAAAGGCGGCTCCGCATGAAGGATTCTTTTGACATGGGAAACTGGCAGGTTGTGGGGAAATCTAGAACCCCTGGCAATATTTTGTGCCAGGGGATTTCTTTATAGAGAGGATCATTCCATGAGAGTCGCCTCGATGGCATGCATGATGCAGAAATCTAACAAATAACATACAATAATGTGATCTGAATTGCTGGCTCAGGTTCCACTGTCTCATATATACCTAATGGGGTTCCAGAAAAGAAACATCCCCTTTTTTTTAGTAAAGTTTTTTATATTTTCATAAGATATAATCCACATGTATACTATTACATTGCCAGCATTGTTTTGTATTATTAAATGTTTACATCAATTCATCTTACCATCAAGTCCCAAATCACAATTATTGGCTCTTCTGCTCTCCATGCACCATATTTGTCCTTATCCGTCACTTTCTTCTCCCTCTCTCCTCCCTGTCCCTCCCTCCTTTCTTCCCTCTGTCATCCTTCCCTACTCTACTTTCCCTTCCCCTCTCCTTCTCCTCTCCCCTCTTTCCACTCCTCATTTCTCTCCTCCACTTTAGGATTTTTTTTTTTTTTTTTTTTAGGATTTTATTGAAAATTTATATGCCGCCCTTTTTCCCTGAGGGGACCCAGGGCGGCTTACAACAGTGAAGGGAAGGGAGTGCAAGACAAGACTTAAAAAGAAAAGAATCGTGATTAAAAGAAAATTGATCATAA